TACCAAGTGGCATCCCAAATCCCAACTATATAAAAAGTAAGATTTGCCATTTAAAAATGAATATCTAATGACATTTATTATGTTTTTGTATGGTTGGGGTGATTGTTGGTACAAAACTACAACTTTCATAGTTCTTATGAGTAAAAATAAACTACAAAACAGGTATAAAAATATGTACACTGTTCAAGATTTAATTAATAACTTACTGACCATATTTTACCACGCATACTGGATGTAACTATATCGTTTAAGATCCATTAGAAAAATCGTGTAAGAGGGTATTGTTAATAAGGTACTCATAAGATCATCTCTACTTCTAAACATAGTTTATCAGATGTGCTATTGCTTGTCTTTCAGAATGCTAAACTAAACAGTTCAATTTCTGCTGCAACCGAAGAGCAAAGAAGGGCTGATGAAAAAATGATGAAATTAGCAGAAGAGCAAAAGGTTTGCTGACTTCTGTTTTCCTTCTAATAGTCAATTTTTAATATTATGCAAAAGTGTTAAGCTCATAGTTTCATTATACGCAATTAACAGAGGCAAAAAGAAGAACTTCACAGAAAAATTATTTCACTGGAGCAACGACTAGATGCAAAACAGGCAGCTGAGCTGGAAATCCAGCAATTGAGAGGGAAGTTAAATGTGATGAGGCATATGGGCGATGAGGGTGATCAGGAAATTCTTGAGAAGGTGGATGAACTGATAAAGAGTATAAGGGAAAAGGAAGAAGAGCTTGAAGCTGTTGAAGCTCTAAACCAAACTCTAGTTGTTAAGGAGCTAAAGAGCAATGATGAGCTACAAGAGGCTCGAAAAGAGTTGATCAATGTAAGTTCTCATACTTTTTTAACATTACTTACCATTGAGGGTCCTGACTCTACCAAATGTGCATTTTTGAGGGACCTGACTCTACCAATTATAAAAACTTCCTCTACTATCTAGTAACTATCTATTAACTTAAAAAATTTACTTCTATAATTTTATTTACCAGTGGTGTAACTAGGAGTGGGCCGGCCCAGCACTGCCTCATCCCAAATTTGCATTTTTAAGAGTCCTGGCTATGCCAATGATAAAAACTTCCTCTACTCAGTCTATTAACTTAAATCATTTTGTTCACAAACGCATGTAGCAAACCAATAAAGTAGAACATACTAAAATGAGTAAGTTATCCTTCCATTATTTATTTCATTTTTGCTTGTTACTTCTAGGCTAAACAAATATAAAACTACACGATATGCTCAGGGGTTGACAATATTATGTCAAGGCAAAACAGATGATTTTAGGTTATCTCTCCATCCCAAAAAATGTCCTCATTGGAATACTTTATTTGTCTTAAATAAGAGTCTTATTTGAATAAAAGAACCTGTTTTTATTATAATTAATGTAAGTTTGGAAACAAGTGTTCCAAACAATTTAAGTTTTATTAACATCGAAAATCTTGTACCTTAGTGAAACATGACTCCTTTGGACGCAGGTAGTAGTAAGCATTCAAGAAATACATACTACTCTGTGGGGGCTGAAGGAGTAGGATGATTATATATTTCTAACAAGCTTTTCTCCTAATTCCACTGTAGGGGCTGAAAGAATATCCAAGAACTTGTGCTATTGGAGTGAAGCGGATGGGAGAACTTGACTCCAGACCGTTTCATGAAGCAATGAGGAAGAAGTATGGCGAATCTGAAGCCGATGATAGGGCTACTGAACTGTGTTCATTATGGGAGGAGTACCTTAGAGATCCAGAATGGCATCCAATCAAAGTTGTGTCTGTAGACGGGCAACAGAATAAACACATGGTATGCATACAACACACTTAGTTCTTATCCCCTGATTCCCCGCTTTTCAAAGTATAAAAACACATTATTTGACAAAAAAGAATCACATAGAAGTTAAACACTATGGTATAAACTTTGCATACAAGTGATACAACACACTTTTCTCTCTCTGTCGTTCAGAACACACACACACACACACACACACAGCTTACATTGCTTAGTTAAGAGTTAGACTCAATTGCATCTCCAAAGTGAGTCCAAACTAAGAAATGCAAAGTAGATACACAGCGTCTACGGAGTTTTTGCTTTTGTTGGTTTTGTTTGTTTGTTTCTAAATTTTTGGGGTGTTCAAACAGTCTGTAATAGATGAAGAAGACGAGAAACTGAAGGAGTTGAAGAAAAACTATGGGGAAGAGGTGTGCAAGGCGGTCACGAATGCACTGATTGAGGTCAACGAATACAACCCGAGCGGGAGGTACATAACGTCCGAGCTTTGGAACTACGCAAAAGGCAAGAAAGCCGAGCTCAAGGAAGGTGTTGACGTGCTTCTCACACTCTGGAAAAAGAAGAGAGCCACTGAAGGGTTCTGAATGTGCCCTCCTCCTCCTCACACCCACCACATATATACCGCCACCAGAGCTCTCTTTGAACTCATTAAGTTTATTTAACCCTTCTTCCATGGATTGATGAATCAATAAAATTTCCCAGTGTTTGTAAAATTGATGGATTTTTTTTAAACTTTTTATTTTTTAAAAAGCATGGATTTAGTTTGCATGGTTGGAATGTCTGAATAAGACTCTCCTGTTTTCCCCCTTTAGGTCTTATTGTATTCGTGGGATGGATCTCTCTGGGTCGGATGTAGACTTCTCACTTATATTTTTTTTAGTTCGTTCTGAAAATTATGTAACATTATAGTTCTTTAAACAAATCATTATTATGTGATTTATTTATTGACTATGTTTTTTTTTAATTCTTTGGAACTTTTTGCAATTAAATTTTAGCAGCAGTTTGCATTTGATCTGTTTGCCTGATCATAGTAGGGCTTTTATTTGGGACTTAGAGCATCCGCATCGCACGGACTACTCAGGCGGAGGAGAGTTGTTACATTGGATGGAGAGGTTAAAGGAGGGCTTCTCCTCCTCCCGAATTTCGAGAAGAAAAAGGAGTACTACTCCACCGCGGAGTAGAAGGAAGTGAGATAGGAAATGGCCAATCCCTATATGACATGTGTCACTTTTTCTTTTCCTTTTCTTTTTTATACGGAGTAATAATATTGGGCTGTAGAAAACGTTTTTTTACGGTGGAATTGAACAAAAAAATGAATGGTTTGAATTAATTTGAAGAGAAAAATTCAATCGCCTTTCTTTTTTACTCTTGAGAAAAACCTACTCTTTCTTTTGTTTTTCTTCTAAATATTTACCATAATTAAATTTTTAGAAATGAAATATAAAACTTTTATAATTATTTTTACCATAATTAAAAATTTACAAGTTCATTTGTAGTAATAAATTTAATCATACGTATGTTGTTTGTAGATAATTTTTGGCTCCTTATTGAAAAAAATAATTAACTTTTTTAAATATATCAATGAAGTACAATTTTATTTTTCATTAATTTTTAAATTAAAATAATTGTATATAGCATAAATATTTAATAATAAAAAATCATTTAAGTCACATAATAAATAATGTATTACTAATCCTTTTGGTGTAAGGGTTGAGGAGAAGTAAATGGAGGAGTTGTGGATTGGACCCACAAAATATGATGTGGAGGAGAGAGGTGGAAGTACTCCTTCCTTTGCTCCTCCTCATAGAATTTTATTGATGATTTGGTTTTTTGTTTGGAGATTGATGATTCTTTGTTGTTTGGTTTTGCCCATACAACAAGGAAACTATTCTAAGTAGCGTGTATTCGATCAGGATTCTAATGATTTTTTTCTCTTAAAATCTATAGGTATTCAGTTCAAATTTTAAAAGATCATTTAAAATCTGTGTGTGTTCAACTCAAGTTTTACTCCCTCCGTCCCAATTTAAATCGCCTGTTTTGACTTTTGGGCATATTTAAGGAAAATAAAAAATAGAGTTGATTTTTCGAAATTGACATTACTTTTTAGGAGGGGTGATGATAAATGAGAAGAAGAGTGACTTATTTTAGGGATAGTTTAGGTATTTTATTTTTAAAAGTTTACGAAAACAACTAACAGGCAACTTATTTTGGGACGGAGAAAAAAGGCAAACAGGCAATTTAAAATGGGACAGAGATTTAAAATGGGACAGTGGAAGTAATTTTTTTTAAAAATATGACGGTATTAAAAAATTGATAGATTTTTAAAGAATTAAAAAAATGCAAATTTTGATGAATTTTTAGGCCTTAAGTATAAATACAAATTCATTCCCAAATCTCCCCCAAAAGCTAAAGATTTTGAAACTCCTCCGGTGCAAGCTCCTCCCCCGAGTTCTTCTCCACCACCGCCTTCAACTCGCTCCTTCAACTTCTTCTCCTATGCTATTGACGCCTTCCACCCTGCTCCTTCTCGTTCTTCTCCCCCGTCGAATCCTTCTGCACCTCCTAGAACCACATCTCCTCCATCATCACTGTCTCGTCAATTCAGATCGCTACTACCATCTAGGTCAGAGTTACCGCTGCACAGACGAGTCGTCACCGAGTTGAGATCCAAATTACTGATGCATCAAACTTATAGTACTTCACTCATTCATATTACTCATTCAAATTAAAGGATCAGGCTTTTTCAAACGATTGGATTATTTTTGTTCAGATAGAAATTTTTTTGTGATTCTTTTAAAAGGATAGTATTTTGGTAAGACCTTTCATAGGTTATTGGATCACTTTTTCCAATTTGTGTAATTTTTGTATAATTAGCTATGTATTTTTAGTTTTTTACACAATTTGGAAAAGTTCTGAAGCAATAATGAAGTATATTCCACAATACTGTCAAGTTCATAAAAATTTATGAAAATCCATAGAAGCCAAACTATACATAGACTCTGTATAGAGTCTACGAATTTCTGAATCCACCAACTTTTTAAAGTCTTAAAAGTATAATAAAATTCTTATCGGAATACACCCTCCTAAGTAATTATAAAACAAATTGATTGCAATGAAATTTAAAATTAAGTAGTATTGAATCTTCAACGTGACAATACTAAAACTAGGTACAATTAAATAACCTCCCAATTGAATCACATAATATCTAACTTTTAGAGTCATACAAGAACACAAGAACCAACAAAGACACACAAGAACACACAATTTTCTCAAAATTTTTACTATAATCACTCTCCTTTTCTCGTCTTCTTCACACTTTTCCAGAAATCAATAAAAGATCACACAGAAATAAAACATATTAAATACGGAGTATATCTATTATGGCAAAGAGACGATAAAAAAAGAAGCTCTTTTTCATAGTCACACTTTTGAGTTAAGTATAATTATACTGCTTAACTCCATATTCAATTGACTATCGTAACTTTTATGATACACCAAAAGTTGAATGAAAATAGACATAATATATATGTCTATATTCATTCTAATTTTGACTTACCATAAAAGTAATATAATAATCTAAGGATTAAATATGCATTGAAAAGGAAATTACTATTAGACCCTGAAATTTCTTCCCACGAAGGTTTGACCGAACTGCCAATTGGCGGGGACCACATTCCATGACGTGGAGGAGCGATGGTCGCTGGCTTTGACTCTAAAGGATAGTGTTTGACCGACTAAATTTGCACTGGTTTGCCAATTTTGCCCCCAGTTGCGGGTGAGCTCAATCCAGCTGGTCTTTGACGATTTTACCCACACCTTGACCACGTCACCTGCCCCTGCCACGTTGGTCACCAGCACCAGGTTGAAGAATTGGTGCCCGTTCATCATGAATCTTATGCCACCTGGCCTACGGCATGCCACCCTGGACAGTTCTCTTATAATTAGGCTCAATAACATGCAAGGGTATTTTCGGTATAAAAGTTTTACACCTTTTTCAGACCTAAAAAACATACTCCATACTACGGAGTATATTTACTTTATTTTTATTTCAATGATGAATATGTGAGTCACAATGTTTTTCTTTCATCTAAACAAATTATAATCATACATTTTTTTTCTTTCATCTAAACAAATGCACGCCACTAATTCTTTTTTTTCTTTAGAAATCACTCTAAATAGGACTAAGACATAGAGAAAATTACCAAAATAAGATTTTCATATTTTTTTTCCAGAATAGGATTTCGCACTGTGGTAATGTGGTTGTAATGTGGCACTGTACATGTGCACATTACTATACTTTTTGGTAATGTACATGACCATTTTTGCTAATGTAAATGCATTTTAACTCCTATTTCACGAATAAAAATATGGAAGTCCTATTTTAATATATTTTCAATGTTTTAGTCTTACTTTGATCTTTCTCCCTTTTTTCTTTTTGGTATTCTTTTATATTTAAAATCAATTTTGTTCGTCATTTGCTGAATAATCATGCTAGTGTAATACCCCGTACTATGAATGACATCAAAATTGATATTTCAAGACGACATAAATAATACTCCTATGTGTGAGTTTAATTTTAGACCATCAAACAAAGTACATAACCGTTACATGTGATTGTAAATTGCTTCCAAATGAAACAATGTGAACACATTTTTTTCAACCACACGAGATTCATTTTGATTTCGTGCTTGCGCGTGTTAGTGAACAAAGAATATATATGGAGCATAGGATCAATCTATCTTTTAGCCAAATCAGCCCTTAATTAATTTGATCTTATAATATCTGAATCTAAACGGAAAAATATATTTCAACATGGTTCATTTAAATTTAACTCGTATCCTAAACTAACTTAGATTAAATTTGAATAAGGTCGTGTTTGAAAACTAGAATTCATTTGAAATCTTATATTTTATTTCCAACATTTGAAATTCCACAATTTCAAATTCATTATGTTGTTTGGAAAGTCATAAATTTCAATACTAGAATTTGAATTTTGAAGTCGGCAAAGACAGTAAAGGAACCGATTGATATGCATGGAATTCTTAGTATATAAGGGGAAATCAGTCTTTAATTAAAAGTTTTAAATTAATAAAAAGTTGAATTAAAAAAATTCGACTCAAATCTAAATCTAAATTCTTTAAGTTTTCAAATAAGTAATTTGAATTAAATGTGGATTTGAAATCCAAATTCGAATTTTCAAACATACCAGAATTTACGGGACTGACCCGATGTACAAACCATTGCACACATAATAACTTCTTGTTAGCTCATAAACAACCCGACCAAAATCTGAAATTTATCTACCCAACTCAAAATCTAAATCCGAACCCGAAAAAAATATCCTAACCCGACCTGCATAAATTAGACTCGAATATGAACTAAGTGGAGTCCAATTTGGGTATCCTAAAACTTGAAACGATCCCCAACTTGTTATCAACCCATACATTTTACTCACTCCGTCCCACTTTAGATTACAATATTCCCTTTTAGTTGAAATTAAGGAAGAATCAAATCAAATTTTTTTTCCTCAAATTACCCCCAAATCCTCCCAAATAGTGTGAATAGTGGCTGGCAGAAAAGAAAAAGAGAGGGTAAAAGAGTCAAATCATTATAAAGTTATTAACTTTGTAATCTTTTTTGGGACAAAAATATGAGGGAATATTGTAATCTATTTCGGGACGGGGGGAGTATTTACTATTTACACGGTTAAATTATATACGGAGTATTTTTTTGTTTACATATTTTCTTTGATTGTTAGACTAAATAGAGTATTAAGGAGGTATGTAAATGTTACCGGCGATAACTGACGGGAACAATCTTATACCCGTACCAATCTTTAAATTAAATAAATTAAAAAATTGAAATTTTACTTCATTTTTGTAACGTGTAAATGATTTAGGAAGGGAGGAGTATTTTTTTTCTTTGCATATTTTCATTGATTAATGGACTAAATAAAATATTACTGAGGTATGTGAATGTTACCGGCGATAACTGACGGGAACAATGCCGGCGCGGTACTCGGCGATCTTAAGGAACATAGGCATGGAAAGGTCGAAATGGGAGCGGGGCGGGTTGCACCACCCGCCGTGGTCGTTGGGCAGGGCGAAGTTCGGGGGGCAGAAGTTGGTGGCGGTGATCAGAATCGACGGGTTCCCGGCGACGCAGGACTTGGGGTCGGCGCACTTGATCTCGAAGCACGCGCCGCAGCTGAGGCCGTTGTTGAACAGGGCGGTGCTGAGGGCGGCGGTGTTCACGCCGTACCCTTGGCTGTACAGGTTCCCGTACCCGCACGCGCCGCCCATCGTCCCTGACGCGTCGCTCCCTCCGTAGAATGTCGCGTGCGCCGTCTCCCACGCGCCGCCGGAGTAACTCCCCGGGATTCTCGACTCGGCGCCGGCGATTAGGAGCGCGAGGAGGAAAATGAGGGCGGGAATGGACGCCATTGTAATGATGCAGGGGAATTTGATGTTTGAGGAGGGGATAACAAAAAAGGGAAGTGAGGGAGTGGAATATATATATAGAGAGTTATGTTAGAATAATTTCTTACCATTTCTATATACTCTGAGTATATTATCTTCTACTACAGAATTAAAAGATAATGACACATAAAAAATCATAACCAGAAAAAACCGGCAAGGATCTTTTGGCTCTCGCGAAAAAAATGAGACAGGAATGACCAATCATTTTAGGCCACGTACAACATCAAATTTAAGAAGGGAAAAGAACCATCGATTTTTGAATGGAACACCATAAGTGTCCCGAATCATTGTAAGGTCAAAATAACCTCAGTGAAAAGAACCGTGGTACGTAAGAATTTAAAATTATTTGGGACTTTTCTTCAACTTGTTTTTTACTTAATACTCATTTTTTTAATGTAAGATAAAAATGTTCAATTATCTAACTTTGTATTTGGTACGTAGTTTAGTAAACTAACAAAAGATTAGGGCTGGGTTCGGTTTTTATCTAAAAGTGAAACCAAACAGAAGGTAGAAAATTGGTTCGGTTCAATTTTACGATAAAAAATATGTGAATTGTTGGTTTATTGGTTTAATTTTTGTTGTTCGACTTTTGATTTTTTCGATTTTTAAAAATATTTTTTATATAAAACATAAAGCGTGTTGTAAAAAAATTGACAAACATTCTTTTATAAAATAACGACTTTAAAATGTTTGTAATAACTTCATTTATATTATAACATCAAAGATCTACATGTTATAGTTTTATAATGCAATTTCAGGCCTGTTTGGTAATAGCGTTAGCGTTTTGAAAATGCTATCTAAGAGCAGCGTTTATTATTAGCGTTTTCAAAGTAATCTGCACCGTTGAAAGTTTATCCAAAACGTTAATGTTAATCTCTAACGTTATTTTCAAACAAGCCCTTCATGTGTTTCAAAAGAAAATAATCTGAGCAAAAGATATACTCTATCTGTCTCATTTTGGATGCCAGACTTCGAAAAACGCATAAAATCCCATCATATTTAAAATCAATTTAATCACAAATTAGTATCGAAACAAAAAGTATAAATTACACAATTTAAAAGTACATAAAAAATTTTATAAAATAAGTGGTGACAATAATATTTTACTTTATCAAATTATTAATGAAAATATATACAAATTAACAAAAATTATCTAGAGACTGTAACAACGACAGTGATATCCAATTCGGGACGAGGGAGTACTGTTATATAAATAAATGTTGTTATAACAATGTTAATGAGGGATGGAGGGATAATGGAAGATCATGATTCATGAGAGATCCTCTCCTTAATTGATGCTTAATTAGTCTTTTATTCCATAATTAATTAATTTATGAAGCCATGGGAAAAGTCCCCCAATTCAACGCTTTGACAACGCCCCCTTTTTTTAGTTGGATACATTAAACATGGAATGCTACGTGACAATGGAAAAAAAAGATTCATGCATCTATTTTGATAAACAAAAATATACACTCAAATATATTTTGGTTAAATATTTGTTAAATTAATATAATCAAGACAATTTCTCTATAATCCATGTTGTTTATGCAGTCTTTTTTCCAAGTATTCTAAAAAAATCACTTGAGTCATGGAGCTTCGAGTACTAAAATTAACTGCAACTCGTTACTTTCACGTTATTTAAGAAATAATTTGTTTTCCCGTAATCCTAAAGTTCGCATGTGAAATACGGTTGGCAATTGGATTTCTTTTTTTACAAAATGCTCAATCTTTTATGACTAAAGTCAATAAGACAAACATGAATCGTATGATCACGTTAGAATTTCCTTAAAAATTGAATTTTTTTTCTTGTCATTTAGAAGAAAAATAATAATTAAAAAAATGTCTTTGGAAATTTTAAAAAAAGAAAAAAATGAGGTGTTTTAAAGAAGGGAGAAAGACCAAAGTAAGACTAAAACATTGAAAATATACCAAAATAGGACTTACATGTTTTTATTTCCAAAATAGGACTTATATTACCATACATGGTCATATACATTCCTAAAAAAGTGTAGTAATTTGCACATGTACACTGCCACATTACAACAGGGCAAAGTCACATTACCACAGTGCAAAGTCCTATTTCGGGAAAAAAACATGAAAGTTTTATTTTTGTACTTTTCTCTATGTTTTAGTCATATTTAAGGTGATTTCTTTTTATAGAATTAAAGAAGGATTAAATTAAATAAGTAAAAGTCGCTAGAGCAATAATTGGGAACACTAGTGGGCTTTTACAGTGGATTCACATTTCACCGCCACATTTGAATTTTTTGCAACAGAATAAATAATAATAAAACAAAATTAAAAAAACAAAAAAAGAGAGAGACGGCCAACTAATTATCCCGCAATCGGCGCTCCGCAGATTGCGCCGTGCATTAGCCGTGCGGTGACATGTCCGACCAACCGACGAGTCAAAGTTCCGATCCTATGTCACGCACCCCACGCTCTTTCTGTGTCCTTTTCTCCCATCACGAGATGTGGATATGGGCCGCTTCCGTCTTCATAAAAATGATCCAAATCATTAGGGCACTAGGCCCGGTCCAATCATTTCTTGAAGCATTTTACGGAAAATTAAATACGTAGTAAAAGTTTAAGTGTTTAACCTCGGTCTCAAACTTTTGAAAATATTTGACTTTTTGTTTATTATCAATTAAATAAGAAATTTGTTCGCATTAAGGAGTTCACATTAGTCCAAACAATTTCATTATGCAATGCAAGTTTATATTTCTAGTGGAGTACGGTGATACTCCGGTGCCACGGTCATTTTGGAGCACTTCCAGTGCGCTGTTCGTAAAATTGACGGTTACTATCTCCCTAATCCACCCTCATAGCCACACATTTTTTGGGGGACTTACGGCGGGGTTGGGGTGGAGGTGCATGGGCAGGGGTAGGGTGGGGGTTTAGGGGGGTAGGATGAAAACTGTTAATTTTATGAACAGAGCACTGGAAGTGACCAAAATGATAGTCACCAAACGTGAGCGTCACAGGCTCACAACTAGTTAAACTTAGAAAAATGGATTGATCTAAAACTCCAAGACACATGAAACATTGTTGGGCGGTGCTCCTTGGACCACACGGCAAGAAGGAGAGCAAATCCCATTCTAAGTGGGATTGCTCTTGATTTGTTTCCTTGTTCATATTTAGTGATTTGTTTCCTTGTAGGAATAGAATTCTTTTTGTGTTTTGGTCTTTATTTTATCCTCTCCTATAAATAAAGGAGAAACTCCTTGTACTTAGCAGAACAATTCAATATACAGAATATTTTCCCTCTTATTATTTTCTTCATGGTATCAGAGCAAGATTCCTAGGGAAAAACCCTAATCTAGACATACGACGGTCCATCACCGTCCTCCGCCGGTTCAAGCCTGTCTTCCGCCGGATCACCGACATCGACCGCCGAACTATCCTCCTCGACCGTCGACATGGCAGAAGTAGAAGAAAATCTCGTCGGCAAGCTTTTCGATGAGGAAGAAAAAATCCCTACGAAGGGAAGTTCTTACGAACTCAAGAACGCAGACACACCTGGATTAATTATCACCCAAGTCAAACTAAACGGTGATAATTATGAAGAATGGGCTCGTGCAATGAGAATTGCATTCCGTGCAAAACGGAAAATTGGATTCATCGACGGATCCATCCCTTGTCCAGAAGAAGGAGATGAAAACTATGAAGAATGGTGGATTGTGAATGCCATGTTGGTCTCATGGATTTACAACACAATTGATGGCAGCCTGAGAAACTCCATCACACAGGTAGAAGAAGCAGCAGAACTATGGAAGGACATCCAAGATCGTTTCTCTGTTGCAAACGGTCCTCGAATTCATCAACTAAAGAAGGAACTTGCAAATTGCAAGCAAAACGGTCAGTCCATCGTTACGTACTTTGGAAAATTAAAAACCATATGGGACGAACTCGGCGATCATGAAAAAATCCCCGCTTGCAA